CTGAGCATCCAAGACTTCCTGGATGTGTCGGACCCAGACCTGCTTGATGTCGACGTTGGCGGCCTGCAGGGTAAAACGTTCTGACGAGCCGCGACACGACAGGACAAACTTACAGGGATCGTTGTCCACGCTGTCCTCCAGACCAAGATAGGACACCTGTGGGGAAGGGTGAGGGAGGCAAAGCCGTCACAGTGTGATTGTAATATATAGATATCTAGATATCTTTTATGCATTGCATAAATGTACAACACTACAAACTCCATAAGGTCCCATTTCTATTTGACATATATGGCGCATGGAAGGAAATGAGGTCAAAAACGGGGATTTGGTGTGCCTAATGTAACCCCCCCAAAAAAGCCCATCCTCCGCGTACCTTGATGCTCTTCTTGAACTGGTACCCGGGCGTGGATGATCCTTTCCTGAGCAGCTCGCTGAAGATGACGATCTGCTCAAAGAGGAAAACTCGCCGTTCTTTGGAGCGCGAGAGGACGCCGGCGTCCTGCTCTGTTACAAAGAAGGTTTCCTGCTGCAGCAGTTTGCCCTGAGAGGTCAGTTTACCCTGCAGAGAGATTGGATTAGTCAACAGAAGTGAGTAATAAAACAGGTGGAGGGCGTACAGGAATCTATAGGAAGTTGACGTACCTCGTATCCCTGCAGCCGACCCAAATTCATCATGTCGTTACACAGTTTAGGGACCTGAGACATCAAATCTACTGCTTTCTGTAAAAGCCAGAGAGAGGGGTTTAAGTTCATCTCCTGTGTGCGTGCCCCTCTCTTAGGCTGCGCAATGAATGGGAGCATTAACAGATATCCACATTTATTTAAACAGAACGGTTTCAAGACCTGTCCTGGATTCAGACAGGGCTGAGTATACAAACACTGTATGTATCGTGTAAACTGTGATATTTCAGCATTGTACGTTGTGTTTTTACCTCTATTTGTTCGCAGTCAATGCCTGCCTTTAAGCTGAACTTCAAGAAGTCCTGAAGAGAACCATGACCACAACATTAACACTCAAGAGACAGTAAATACAGTTCACTACAGTTTCAATACATCACATTACCCTGATGTCCCACAGACAGCTGTGTGGGATTAATAAAGACGCACACTGTCCTCTTGCAATTAAAACAGGTTCTATGGGAGATGACAACATTTCAGTTCCATAGAATTATAGCATAGTTTTTTGTGGAGCCTAAAAAATAACACAGATCTCAGTTTGATATCCCTTCAATTATTTCCCTCATATCAGCTATCAGTATTATTTTTATGCTAGTATTTTCTAACATAAGTGTCCCTTTCCAAGGCCAGTTTTTTAGTTTTGGGTTTACAAGACTTTTACTACTATAACAACTTCTATCATAAAGGGCAAAGGCAAACTAAACACATAATTTAGCTGTGTTCCTATAAAACATTTCAAAGAGCCCAGGGTTTTTTTTAAATTTTTAAGAAATCATTTCCCAGGGGTTTACTTGACAATTCAGGACAGCACCTGCTTACAAATCATATCATTTACCAGGAGGTCTAGTATTGACACATTTAACTGCAGTTTGATTACTCATTGTTTAATGATGTAGATTTAATTAATAATGATGATAGACAGGTTACTTCCAGGATATTCTGCCATTCTAATCAATTTCCAGGTGTTTCAATGTCTGGAAAGCTACTCTCTATATTTCCAGGTTTTCCAGGACACATAGGAACACTGACGCGTAGGAACGGTGATCATTTTTTCGTCTAATTAATCAGATTAAAAATAAAAGAAACATACTGACATTGTGCCCGATAGTTTCCTTTTGTAACTTAATAGAATAATGTGTGCGTGTTACCTTCAGTAACAGCTGGTATTTAGTGATTCTCTGGATTGGTTTGATGAGGAAGTCACTGATGGTCAACCTAGACTGGATGTCCTGCTGGAGTCCCTGGAAGACAAACATCAATAGCATTAGAAAGCTTCTTTTTCAGCCATTTCTCTGATTTATGCTTCTCTTATATATGTGGCCAGTTTAGTATCAAATACAGCAGATAATACAAGACTCTAAAATCTTCCATTAATGTAATCAAACAGCTACAGTAAGGATAAAAATAATATAGAGAGCCACAGAGAGATGAGACATTACAATTTTAAGCTTTTTTTGGTGCAAAGTTTATAAAAAACAACACAGCTACTAACAGTAACAGGAGAAGTCAAAACATCACTTACATCAAAATATGTGTCATATTCTGCTACGATGAACTCTGACTTAGGCTTGTTCTGACAATAAACCACATACATGTGGAGTCTTCTCTCCTGTAACACACAAGGAGAGTAGGGATTTTAACAGGTCAAATGCACTTCAAGTCATCAACATCATCATCACACAGTGTTCCACTCACATGTTTGATGAAGAGCTCGGGAAGGTGTTCATGGTCTTCGAGACATTTCTCCAGCTCTCCTACGAAGAATCTGACAGATACGGGAGAGGGATGTTATTAGTTAGCACAGACTCCTGTCAGTCTCCACCTGACCCTCCTCCCCCAATCGCTCAACGTACTCTCTGTGCCAGTCGTAGATCTGGTGGATGTTGCCGAAGACGATTTTGTCTTTTCCTTTCATGTCATCGGGAACGCCCTTTTCCTCGATCCTCTTCATGAAACCCTGCGGGGTCACAAAAGGTCAGCAGCTGCTCTGCTCACGTCTCCTCAGTCAATGATGACTAACATGAAAACCACCCAGGAATAAATGACATCTGGCTACAACAGAGTGTTAGTGCACTACAATAAGCAGTGTGTTTGTCTGCTTTCTTTCTTACTATAGTCACATTTTTCAGAGATTCTGTGCTCGTCATAAATGTGCCATGTGCATTAAAAGACGCTGAGCTAAAAAGAACCATAAAGAAAGTAAATTATGGGATCAAATGGACTGCACATAATGGAAACTGCTTTATAATGAATGATTGTGGGGTGCAGGATAATCAGGCACGGATGAGTACACACTGTGTTCCCTCAGCAGTGGGTGTCTCACCTCCACCACGATGCCCAGGTCTTTGACGTAGTCCTTCTCTGTCTGAATCAGCTCGTTCAGAACAAACCTGAGTAGAATAACAGTAACAGCTGCTGAGGACATGTTATCATGCTATCATGTTATTAGTCACAATGTAACCTGATGGCTGTGGTGGTAGAAGCAGCAGCACAAGCAGTTATGATGTACTTACATTCGTCCTCTCATAGCTTTGGCTCTCTGCTCCAGTTCAGGGTTTCGTGGCTGGACCGGAGTGGTCTGCTCCGGTGGAGAGAGAGAGGAGAAGCCTGGGTACGCTCCTGGCTCCAGAGTCTGAACAGAGAAGAGAAGGTCGGTGTTATTATTTATTGAGAAAAGAAGCTACATGAGTGAAATTCTCTTTTCATCAAGGGGGTTTCATTCAGCAGAATCATAGATTTGTCTCAGAGGGCTTTACAACATGAACAGCACTCTACACCCTCTATCCTTAGACCAACATCAGAATAATGAGAGGATTTCAGAGGGCAGCAGGAGCTTGGTCTTTAACAGCAGGGACAACAAGCATACACAAAGGTTAGACACATATATAATTATTATAAAAAATGTTCATTACAATTTGTGGATTTGAATCCCATCCAGAACGCACATGTGTAATAATTACTGTTTTTTGGTGAAGTCACTGCCAGAGCGATGTATTTGTATTCTGAAGAGGATCTCTGACCAGCAGGGTCTACTACTAGCACTGACTTTTGTGTGAAATGGAGTAATCTACCCCGCTAACACCAGAAAATAGGTCTATTTGGGATTCAATACAATGAAAGAAACAATTAAAGCCATCAGGAGAGCAAGATGCTGTAAAAGTCATCAGTTTTCTGCTATTCTGATTTTAGCCTACATTTGTTTCCGCCTATATTTTTACAAATTGGCACAATTAAAAGTATGTTAAATTAGCTATTAGCAGTTCCTGATGGCAATGTGCCCACGGATGTACAGATAACTGTCACTGGATTACTTTGATACTTCTATTCTTCTATTTCTTTATGGACATTTATTCATGAGATAATGGTATTCTTGGGAAGTGTCGGTTTGATGTGTGTGTGTCTAGATTTCACTGAGTTATGACTCAGAGAAGGAGCAACTTTGCAGCAACTTTGCCTGACCTTCAGCTGTCCCGTGTACATAACAGACCATATCCTGCAATTTCACAGTGGTTCATTGTTTGGGATGGACTTTCACTTAAATGACAGACTGTCACAGTGCAAATGTAATTCACCACTTTCTCCTGCAATGTTAATCTTGTCTGAATGGGGCTTTACATTGCTATTATATGCATAAATATGCATATAAATAACACAAGACTCGATGAGGCTAACTACGAATTACTGTAAATATAAACACTAAGTGTATTACACAAACATAGAACAACACACAAGTACAACATACTGTGCATGCACTACTGTTGACACTACACATATTCCATATTGTATTCATTTGGTGAAATGAGCACAAAACGATCCACACATGGAGACAGCAGATAAACAGGTGTGTTCACTTCAGCCTGGTTCTGAAGACGACTGCTCTGCACGTCATTTGTTTTTTAGTTTGTGGCCATTATAAAGAAAATATAACACTGTTACATTGCACGTGCGTACGTCCCATACATGCACACAATCATATGCACTCACCATCTTTGTTTTAACCAGTTTTTCTATGGCGCTAACCAGCTCTGCGGCGCTGGGCACCTCAGAGGACGACTGCAGAGACGTTAGCAAGGACGAAGACTGAGTGAGGAAGAGGAGAGGGGGATCAAAAGCGACAGCATGTTAGAAAGATTGGAAGTGCAAGCGATAAGGCAGTTGGTGGAGGAAGAAAGAAGAGTTAAAGGCAAGAAAATAAAAGGAATAAAAACAGCATTGAAAGAGAGAAAAGCTGTAAGCTAGCACAGGACAACAGAGCTGATGTATAGGATTTATACCAACGACAGCTAATATAAACCTAAATCCAATTAAATAATCATTATTTAAAGAATAAAATAAAATAAAAACTAAATAAAATAAATAAAAATAAAAGTGAAATGCACAAAAAACAACTAAATTAAAATAGAAAAAAGGAAATGGAGAATATTATTTAAAAAAACATGAATTAACCCTTTAGGCGCTGGGTT